TCACTTTTCCAGACAGCTGTGGAGGCAGTGTTCAGCTTGGCTCAGCTCCCCATGCCTCATTCCACAGCTGCTTCATTTCTTGCACCTGCTCCTGGTCTGCCATTCATCCCCAGTCCTTTTTTCTTAGAACATCTGACATGAATCTTTTCCTTTAGAAATTGTCTGAACATTTCTGAAAATGTTAATAAATAGTATCAGTTTTGAAGTCAAAACAAATGGCAGATTTTAAAAGGTCTCTGTCTTTGCAACAATAAAAGGGATTTTATACTAAATATGTCTAATTTTCAAAGATGTCAAGTAAATCAAAACCTTCAGAAAGAACCATATGGATGCAGAATTTCAGGGAAACAGGAATAATAAGTCCTGAGTTTTGAAGTGCTTCTTGGTTATCTTCAGGGGTTTAGTGTAATTATACACCGCTGGAAGATAATCTGTGGGACAGTATTCTCCATTTCTGATTCTCTTGTAACCTTTAAGCTATCTTTTTGCTTTTGTTACAGCCAAATAAATGCATTAATTAATGTTACTCTTGGTTTTGGTGCATGTTTTGTTTATTAATTCTTAGTTAGTTAGTCTTCTCCAGGAAGCAGTATCCCAACTTTTGGAAGTACAGAGATAGCCTGGGGGTTCTTTCAACTAAGCACAGCCCCGGCATCAAAAGGATATTATCATGGAATAAAGTTGCCAGGAGGCAAATACTATTTATGAATCCTCTGGTCCTATAGTGCTGTAATGATAAGAAATGTCACTGTGGCATATTGTGCTAAATAACAAACATTCCTTACCTACCCACTTTAAAAGTGCAGAGAGCTGAGGCTGCTGGTTATCATCAGAAAAGGAAAAGATATTCTGGCTTTTCTTCTTGAAATTGCACCAAAAACTTTCCTGTAAATTATGTCTGTGGTGGAGCAAAGAGTAGGAAGTTCTGAAAATATCTACAGTAGGCACATGAAATATGATTTGACTATTTAAATTAAATAAATTCTCAATATAACTAACTTTAATTTCAGAGAATAATTAAAAATGTAATTAGCTAACCCTGCATTGCGACATCATTCACTAAGTTGTTAATGGAAAAATTCATGAGGATACTTGGTGTGTTTACTGGGATCCTTCTGTGATGGTAATGATAACCAATTCAGAGGTGTTGTGTGTAAATAAAGATACCATTGGAAAACTTTTGGACATTTTCAGGGTTGTATTGCATATGAAAAAGGTTACAAAAACATAAAGTAGGGAGCAAATAAAGACCTTGAGTTAACTTGATAAAACTCTTGCTTTTTCTAGTATGGGGCTTTTTTTTTGCTTTGTTTTGTTGGGTTTTTTTCCACAGTTTAACTTGCATTAGTTTGGGAAAACCCTTAGCTGAACTAACATGAAGTGACTGTACAGAGGGCAAGACCCACAGCATGATCCTGCTGTGGAATCATGGTTCTGAGTACATACCACGTGAAATTAGGCCACAGTTAAGAGCCGCTGCTATCATCACACACATCACACATTCAAGACTTGTGTCTGCAATACAATTCCTGTGCTATCATCTCATGAGTCTTTTATGATTTTGCTGATTCTATTTCTTCTGTTGATCTGAATGGTGACTGCATTTCTTTCCCTTACCTGTGTTTCTGCACTGAGCTACCATCTGCCTAATCCCTTTACTCTGGCGGTGTTTCCCTCCCTGTCCAGGAAACAGCTGGTGGATTTCAACAGGGTAATGGGTTGTTGTAGGACCTCACATGGAGGATGGAGAAGAGACATCTCAAAGCTGTCAGACAACGGGGTTGGATGGAGCTCAATTATGCCAGTTTAACATTTCCTAAATACAAACTCTGGCTTCAGTTAGAGAATCACAGAATATTCTGAGTTGGAAGGGACCAACAAGCATCATTAATACCAATTCTTAATTGAATGGCCCAGTACAGGGATCAAACCTGCACCCATGGCATTACTAGCAACATACTCTCACCCACTGAGCAAATCTCAGTTGCTGCCAGTATCCATCTTTTGCTACTGTTGCTTTTATTTTTCTCATTTGCCTTTTTACCTCTGTCCAAAGACAACAGCACAAAGCAAGCATTCCTTATGAAATTTACTTATACAAATTCATTTTTCTACACGTATGATATGAAAGCTACCGAACACAGACACAAAAAATTCAACAGTGTATACATGCAAAATAAAGATATGTTAATTGCTCTTTGCAGTGTAGTAGCTTAATCTACTCAGAGATTATACAAGCATTTGTACAAGCAGTAGCTCCACAGTCAATGCAATCTTCTCCTTCTATATGTTGTATTCACAACTTGGAAATTAAAATTTCTTCAGTTTAATTATACAAATGTATGCAGAAGTAAGCTCAAGACGAGAAAGCACATCAATATATGAATCCATCTGAAAATATTAATGAAATTTGAGGGAAAATTTTGTGCATTACTATTGAGAAAATCACAACTGTGTGAGGAAATGTACAAAAGACTATCCCAGTGGATGGATGGCTCATCATTTGAGTACCTAGTACAGGTGAAAAAAACTTTGAACGCTGTTAATTGATCAGGGAACATAATAAAACCAAGAACAGATGTAAAAGTTGAAAAAACCAAGAACCTTGCACAAACAAAAGATAACCAATAAATTAGTATTCCCAAAGAAAAACATCATTGATTAAAGTTATTCTATTGGGAAGCAAATTTAGGGTATTTGAAAGGATATGAACAGATGATCGTTCTTAAAAGAGGTTCCTTTTAAATGAAACAATTCTGTGAATCTGCAGCTTTGATCCTTCTCTGCAGACACATGCATTTTGCTTGGCAAATTCAGTAGGATACACCAGTGTATCATGGAGTGTGAGTTATATTATAATCATTTAGTCACAGGGAGAATTAAGCACTGGCATATATCTCTGTCTAACTACTCATGCATTAAAGAAGACTATAAATAGCCATCAAAGAATTAAAATTGGAATTTAGGTGAATCTTAAGCAATACCTACATTTATTACAGAAATAAAAGTCACAGCTCATTTTATTTTCCCTCATTTCTAGGGATAAATGTATGGATGAAGCATAGCAAGTTGCTGATTTATGTTTATTGTCCATCTTTGGAAGTACTCAAACTACTTTTTGACACATATTTGAGATATGAAAGCATTGGGTGCAGCAACAGGGTCTAATTGCCCTGACCAGCCTGCATGCACCTTCTTTTTCAGTCTTCTTATGCAACCTCTCCCCTCTTCGATCACAGTCCTTGGGGTCTGCCCTGCTACAGTGCACCTTGAGCCAGGTTTCTGTGCAAACAGCTAAGCTGTGAGAAAAAACTGAGATGCCCCACCCTAAGGCTCCAAGTGTGCTCCCTACACTCTTGGGCTCCAGAACTGCAGCTGAGATCATGCCCTGGCCCCTGATCCTTGACTGAGCTGCACCATGGGTGTGCCATGCCTGCCTGGTACCTTGCCAGTCCTGACCCAGCTTTCTAAACTTGACTCCCTGGCTTGACTCTGGACCCCCATGGGATGGAGCCCTTGTCAGAGAGGTCCCTGTGCTGCCTGGCCGTCCGCTCACCTTCCCTTGAGGGCAGCCCCCGTGCTGCTCACTTGGCAGTTTTGTACTGAGAACAGAGGAGACAAAAGAAATCTAGAATCTAGATACCTAGGTATTAAAAAGGTGTATTTCCATGACTTTTAATGATGTTGTCCAAAGCCAGGTGTTTCAATTCCAAATTTTTGGGCAACAATTCCAAAATAGGGAGATTTTTTCCTCCATTCCTGTTCTATGCTATAACCCATATTCTTTCTAGCTAAACAGATGGTGGTTTTATGTTTTTGCAAGTTCTAGTCAGGGTCTAAAACAACTTATCATAACATCATAGAATATTTAGGGTTAGAAGGCATCTTTAAAATTCCTCTGGTTCACCATCTCTGCAATGAATAGGGACATCTTCAACTATATAAGGCTGCTCAGAGCCCTGTCCAACCTGTTGCTGAATGTTCCCAGAGATGGGACATCCACCCCACCACCTCTGTGAGCAACTTGTGCCAATGTTTCAGCACTCTTGTTGTAAAAAGATTATATCTAAACTAAATATATTCTCTTTTAATTTAAAACTACTTTTCATTGTCCTATTGTAACAGGTCCTGCTAAAATTTTTTTACTCATTTTTCTTATAGAGCCCCTTTGAGTACTGTATAACTGCAATAAAGTATCTCCTGAGCTTTCGTTCCTCCAGGCTGAATAACCCCAACCTTTTCAGTCTATCTTTTTAAGAGAGGTGCTCCAGCTTTTGGACGATCTTCATGGGCATCCTCTGGACTGTTTCAGTAGGTCAGGTTCTTCTTGGATTGAGAATCCCAGAGCTGGGTGCAGCCCTCCAGGTGGGGTCTGTCCAGAGCAGAGAGGCAGAATCCCCTCCCTCAACCTGCTGGCCACACTGCTTTTCATGCATTTGACTTTCTGGTCATATGGCCCGGTCATGTCCAGCCTCTCATCCACCAACACCCCAAAGTCCTTCTGGCCAGGCTGCTCTTGATCTGTCCATCCCCCAGCCTGTGTTGATACCCATGGTTGCCCTGACTCAGGTGCAGCACCTTGCACTTTGACTTATTAAACCTCATAAGATTCCCACGTCCCGCTTCTTGATCTTGTTCAGGTTCCTCTGGATAGCATCCTATCCCTCAGGTGTGTCAACAACAACCACTAAGCTTGGTGTCATCTTCAGGGAAAATAAGTAAATATCTTCAATGCCCATAAAGTCAAAAAGGAATCACATAAGTGGAATCTATGTCATTATCACAGCTATTAAAGAACTATGTAGAAGGTTCATAGATTCATCTTCTTTTTCAAGAAACTTCAACACATTTCTTCTAAATTTGATTGACTATTTTAATTATATATTACTCTGAGAGGTTTTATCATTTCTGATGTAATTTAACTGCATGGTTGTGAGGTAATTAGAAGGTTTTGTTGAACAGCTACATAAAAATTAAATGAATTTTTATTAAACTGTTACCTCTTGATGGGATCTTTCTGTGAATCTCCCTGCAGGCTTCTAATTGACAGCAAATCACAGTGATGTTTCCTCAGTTAAAAGATGCCTTCAAATTTCCATTGCTTTGTAGCGGATGTTATTGTGGTCAGCACATTCCTATGAATAATCTGCCAGCTTTAAAAAATACAAGAAAAGCTTTAGAAAATAGTAATGTTTTGTTGTATCATACACTCCATGGCATCAGTCATGGTTTCCCTCATACTATTCATTTTTCAAGGTTAATTACTCTAAATGTTTTGGGGGTTTTTACTGTAAAAATGTCACGAACAGGATGTAGGCATACTATAGGGAGAATGAGGAACTGAGTTGAATGACCTTCATCCTATAGAGTTTAATAGCATTAAAGGTGAACTCCATCCACATTTATAGTTATGCATTTATTCCTGACACTTCTTTAGGTAGAAAATTTTATGCATGAAGCACATATATATATTTCAGTGTTTAGAAATATTCCTCAAGTGTGAGCAAGTTCTAATTTTACCTGCTGAGACACAAAAGAGAAGCTGTTTTTAAGAATAGTAAATAGTTTTTTCCTTTGAGATAGACTATCTTCTGGGAAGAAAATATTCACATTAATTTCTCTTTTGGTGTTTCTTCCTGCCCTCCTGTCAGGAAGGCAAACTTTTCTTTCTCCCATATACATGAGATAAATTCACCACACAATATGCAGTTCCTTATAGGCAGATCCTGTCAATATGTGTGTAGGTCTCCTGCCTTTCATGTTCTGTTTCCACAGCTGCTTGTGTCTGCTGCCTTTCCAGGCTTTGGTGTGCTCTCTGTCCTTCTTCACACTGATTCTTCTTACATTGCAAATGACCACAAGAGCAGGGTGAAATACAGATCATTTGGTGCCCATTTTGTTTCAAACCAGCATATGAAAGAAAAGTTCTGTGATGTCTTGCCTTCACATTATTACAATGCAGACAACTACTGCAGCCTCCTGGCACCTGCGGGCCATATAAACTGTATTCATATGCAACTCAAATAAACTGTATTCATATGCAACTCATAAATAAGGTTACACGCTTGCTAAACAGCAAAATTTATTTGTGGGTTTATTTACCCACAATTAAGACTGCAAATGCACACTTTTGTGATACTAGAAAAAGACAACATAAGAAAATGCTATATGAATTATCTGTTCTGTTTCTGGCAGTTTTATCAGATTGGTTCCATAGAGAAAGTGCATCCTTACATGCATATGCATACTATCTGTTTTCCTACAGTCACCTTCTGGGGAAGAGCCAGCTTTGGATTCTGAATCTCTCTGGGAGCGAAGGTAGAAGGCATTTGGACCTGATATCCTTTCTGTGTGGTGCATAATACACCATGTAGATAAAGAAATCCCCTTTGTGTAATAAAAATAAAATAGACTAATGACAAGAGTAGAACTCCTGGAAAATAGGTGGATTCAAATTTTCCAGTTGTACCACTAACTGGATAACAAGGTCTCTCAAACTTGCTAAATCATAGCCTGGAATGTTTATTGGTGGGCAAAGTATAACTCTACAATTATTCATTAAATTGTAATGCTTTCAGATCAAATAATTCCTCCTAATCTGTTGTCCTCTCCCCTCTGCTGTCTGTAAAGATCTTGTTACTGTGCCTGTTCTGAAAGAGAAGTCTGTAGATATTAGCATATGAAAGCACACTCTGATTGATACTACCTGTTGCCTGGGAATGAAATTGCTTAAGGAAATTTATGGATTTGGCCAAATTTAGCTGCTTTGCTGTGCATACCTGATATAGAGGTGATCACCCTCATCCTCCCCTTCCTTCCTGTGTTTCAATGCAAGATGGATGGAAATGATATGGAAAAAGATGTGCTAATCCCTCACATGAAAGCAAAAAGATTCCAGGGGACTGCAGAAAAATTAAACTTGTACCTACCATGATTCAGCCTGCTCATTGCTCCTCACAACAGTACTAGAAGTGATTCAATGAGATTTATTTTTATAATAAGAAACCTTGTCATGCAGTAAACCATAATCAGTAGTGGTCACTAGAATATAGAGATATTTTCATACCCTCGATATATATATATATACCTTTAATACATATACTCTTCATTTGTATGACCTCTGAATCCTCTGGTTTTTTGATCTGAACTTTTCTGATGCATATTAAGCAAATATTATGCTTAAAGTAATCAGGAGTAGGATTTTTGTCCATTTCTCTTCTGACAATCAAATCTCTGAAAATTGTCTGTATGGAGGAAATTAAATCCCCTGTTCTCAGACTAAATCTGAACCTGATGTCACCCTCAAATATTCATGCATGTAATTTACTGGACTCACTCATGATGTACAAGCAGCATTTAGCTCAGGTCTGATATATAAGATACAATACAATAGAATCAGGATTGTCATAGATATAGTTTTAGAAATAAAGAAACTGAAACAGAGGTGTCATCATCTAACCAGGTGGTAAAAGTAGAATTCAGGTTTCCTGAGCAGAGGTAGTTGAATGGTTGTCTGCCCTGAAAGAAAAGTTGATCTTATAGGGAAAAAAAGCCTGTCTTTGTTTTGAAAAAATAGGAAAAAAATATAATAATTACTCAATATAGAGAAACAAAACTCAAAAAAAACTGTAGAAATGTTGCAGTTTGCTTAAACAAAGGAGTGTAGAAATCCAAAGCCTAAGGCCTCCAATTTCAACTAAAACTCCTAGTGCTTCTAATTTCTAAGCTACTCCCCATACCTAATCGAAGGCAAAAGGAACAAAAGCCCTGCAACAAGTCTCAAGATGGCAGCTGAGTTTACAAATATTTGAAAATCTTGAGTTACCAGATCCAGAGTGAGACACATCCTAGCTGCCTATCCCAAGATACAGCTCAGATCACAAAGGAAGAAAACCTGGGAAAGCTACATAACCTGAAAAGCCTCACCTCAGGCAGATTCTGACCATTTCTAGATGCTTTGTCAAGAACCCTGGACTCCCAGCCCATACCTACAGTTTAAGTTTTGCAGATGGACATGTGAGCCACAGACCTCAGAATCCCAGCTGCAGCAGGAACTAGCCACCCATATAAATATTCAGGAACCAAACAGTGATTTCAACTGTCTTTCCTAATTTTTTACAAACAAAAATTTCTAAATAAAATATATTTGGTCATAAAGGAACCAGCCACATCTGCTCTTGATTCCTAGTTTTTTCGATACTGGATCACCACTTACATGGTCCTGAATGTGAATACTCACAGTGTTTGGTAGTTTTTAAATATAGGCTTCATTGAGGAGGGCCTAAATTTAGTCACTTGTACTACATTTAAACTGCCTTGGTGGAAAAATCTTCACTACATATGAAAAAGTCCCTCTGTCTCCCCCCTCCCCTCACCCATTTCGTTCCTTCATGCAACACTACTTTGGGATCATAGAAAGAGTTGGGGGTAGAGGACAACATTGTCAAGACCTCTCCCATTTTACAGGATTGTACAAGGATATCTGATTTTGCTGAAGGAGAACTCTACAAAGACAAAGGGATCTACAAAGACACAAAAGACCTCTAGAAGCAGAAACTTTCTTTGTGATAGCTGCTTTAAACAGCATATCAATATCTCATAAAAATGGTGAGTCGTTCAGAAATCATGGGATAAGCTTAGAAGTTAGAACTATAACTTATTTTCATGCCTTGTCTCCTAATTTCAAAGGTAAAAGTCACCTATGACATGCCATCCACCTGTGCCTCTCAAACTAATCTTTAAAATCAAGGGAATGAGTAAGTTCGTTTTGCTTTTAGCAAATATTGTTTTCTTTTTAAATGGTTTACTACTCATATATCCAGCTGACTGGACTTTCCTGAGCCAAAACTTAATATCATAATAAACAACAAAGATCATAATAAAACGGCAAGAGTTGAGAGTACAGCAATTATTTTGACTCAGAAGTCTCTGTTCGAAATTGCATGGGAAGATCATGAAATTGGGAGAGAAGTTTTTGATTTTGACTGATTTTTTTCTCTTACCCAACTGATAGAAGTGCACTACAAAAAAACACTCTGTTGCTGCTGGTAGTTCTCCAGGGGATAAATACCTCAGTTCATACTCGCTTTTCTTTCATAGTACATAGGAATGGTGCCCAAAGTTTATATGCAATAAATGACACATTAGGAAAAATTTTCTTTCCATCTGCATACTTTTCAATATTTACAGCAATGTTATTTTTTTGTTGCTTTGTTTGTTTGTGGGAATTTTTTTCTTTGGTTTTTTTTGGTTTGTTTAGCTAACCAGAAGGCTTTGTATTTTTATTGCATATATCCAGATTCAAGCTCATTCTGCACTTGGCCCAGAGATGCCTTAGGTAAAAATCTTTGTGCCAGCTGTAAAGGAATAGGACCCTTGGCCCCCAGCTGTATATGCCAATGATCTGGCCAGTAGATAACATAAATATCTACCTATTTTTGATGATATGAAACTGAGAGCTTGGTTTTGAATAGATATGTTTGAAATACCCTGCTTTTTGCAAACATTCTCAAAAGCTTCCTTTTCAGTTCTGCTAAGGAACAAGGAAAGTAAAATTGAAGATATTGTCAGAAAATGAAATTGTCAGCTTTGGTTAGCAGATGTATATTTCATTGCCTTGTGCCTGTCATTAGTAGCTCTTTGTAGGAGTAGAAAATGAGCCTCTATTCACATGGCACTTTACAAAGTGTGTAAATGTTATCTTTTATGGGAATAAAAAGTTTCTGAGTCCAGTTTAAAATGAACACACTATTGTTATGAAAAAAGACTTCAGCAGTGGGGACATAACGACAGTAAGTCTGGAACAAATTTATCATTATGAAAAAATACACCCACTTTTCCCTATAATTCTCATTCATAAAGGCAATCTTTTGCTGCTTTACCTTTGTGAATCTACCTAGGTTTCCCACTTTCACAAATCTTGTTCCCCCAAGACAGCTCTGTAATGAGAGTGAAGTGTTTTTATTATTGCTTTTGTTAATCATGCTTCCTGCATCCTGCAAAGTGCTTCTTACTCTAAACTGTGCCAGAATTACTGGGGAATTAATCAATACTTGTTACCAGTCATGATCACGGCTGTTAATCACAGCTGTAATTACCAATTGATTAATTAGTGCAGCCCTGTTCAAGAGTCAGGAGTCATTAAATTTCCAGT